CACCACCACCACCACCACCACCAGCACCGTCATCGACGACAACGATCGTGCAAAGTGACACTGTATCCTGGCGGACTGAGAGAGAGAGAGAGAGAGAGTGCTGAAGTGCAGCAGTGAGAGCATCTGAAGAAGTCATCGTCGCGCCGAATAAATTGGCGCCCGCAGCCAGAGTTGCGCCAGAGTTGGGCGCTCGTTCATGTAAACGCGAAGAAGAAGAAGAAGAAGAAACGTCGCGACACTCGACGAGTTTAAATGGTGACTCGAGGATGATGGTGGTGGTGATTTGAGGATCACCTGCGAAACGATTGCTGCCTGTCTGCCTGCCAGAGTGAACCAGTGGTACCAGTAGCCAGGACACCAACACCAACAACAACAACAACATAAACTGAAGCACAGCAGAGCACAATTTTGCAAGAACGCTCTCTCGGTCATTTGCAGCGGCGGTGGTGGTCGTCAACGGAGCGGGCCGACCAGTCGGTCAGAAGTAGAGACCACCAGAACACAAACAAAACACTGGCGCCAGTTCTCCTTCCTTCCTCCTCTCACCCGATCCACCACCTGGGCAACCCGAAGGTCGGAGCTTTGTTTTCTCGCCGTAAGGTTTCCTCCACCAGCACCAGCACCACCAGCAGCAGCAACTGTACCTCAACAGTTTAGTGCCACAACGACTCTGATTGTCCTGGTGATGTGACTACGTACCAGCACCATGGTACGGCGACACCTTAGACGAGCCCTTCGACGACTCACCTCGCTCACCGTCACCACCACTCCAAGTCTGGCCGGACCGCCGGTGGCTGAATAGCACTGTCGCCGTCATCGTCACAACCACCGCCGCCACCACCACCGCCACCAACAGCTGGTTAGTTGTTTGTTTTTTGATGAGTTGTAGACTGGAGCAGAACTGGTCAAGACCAGATCTGCTGCTGCTTGCTTGTTTTAATTTTCCGCTTAAAGTAGCAGTTGAACTGTGTGTGTGCTTGTGCTCTATCAGCGACTTGTAGTGCTGTCTCTTCAATTCACTTCAGCACTTGATAGAGAGAGAGAGAGAGCAGCGACACCACTAAAAATGATGGGCGACTGTGATTACGATGCGCTTTTTATCACCTACTCCATCTCTCTCTCTCTCTCTCTCTCTCTCTCTCTCTTGATCAACTTGGTGGTGAGTTGATGATGATGATGATATTGGCCAGTAAGTCTTTGTGGCTGATGCTGCTGCTGCTGCTGATGGTGCCGTTGATGGTGCCGTGATTGCTATGTTTGGTCTTTCTCGCTCTTTCTCCAGCATCGTTCACTACTGGCACTATCACAACAGAACAGAAGAGTGGTGGTGGTGGTGCAGTTCCCAGTAGAACAGTGGCCTGTTTGCCTGCTGCTGCTTCTTCTTCTTCTTCTTGCTGTTGTATCATGCTGCTGTCTGTCTCTAACTGTGCACTCTGTTTAGTCTGTTTCAGTTCACAGTTGCACAGTTCAGCACACAGTTCAGCATCTCATCCTCGTCCGTTCGTGTGGAGCCATCGATCGTTAATTCCTTTCTCTTTCTCTTTCGCACTTTCAGAAGCTTACACTCTCTCTNTTGCTGTTGTATCATGCTGCTGTCTGTCTCTAACTGTGCACTCTGTTTAGTCTGTTTCAGTTCACAGTTGCACAGTTCAGCACACAGTTCAGCATCTCATCCTCGTCCGTTCGTCCGTGTGGAGCCATCGATCGTTAATTCCTTTCTCTTTCTCTTTCGCACTTTCAGAAGCTTACACACTCTCTCTCCTGTTTTTGAACACTACTGTTGAGTAGTCGGTTTCCACTTCAACTTGCGTCAGCTTTGCCCCCCCCCCCCACACACATCGCATCCTACCAGCAGCAGCAGCAGCAGTTTGTTGTCATCACCGTCACCAGTAACAGCAACAGTAGCAGCAGCAGAAGCACCGAGGCGCACTGCACTTATCGCCCACCACCACCACCAGAGATGGCCAGAGATGATTTGCAAGAGCAGAGCCATTGCCCACCAGTGAACGACGTCGGCGACAGCAGCAGTCACCACCACCACCACCACCACTACCTCAGCTGCAGCAGCAGCAGCAGCATTCACCGTCGATTCTGTTGATGATCACCACCACCACCACCGCCACAAGCAGCAGCAGTACTGCATCCAGTTAGCAAATCATCGACCGGCAATCACCACCACCAGTCTGAATCTGCTTCAACTTCACCACCACCAGCACTTCTTCAGGACTGGCCTATTCACTCGTCTTTTTTCTCGCTATTGCCTCCTCTTTGTGACATTGCAAATTGTTGTTCTCTGTATAGTCGGAACTGTTACTGCAGCGGCTGCAGTTTTCTGCTTCTGGTGGAACGCTACCACTTCAATCTCCCATGGTGAGATTACCTCGAGAGTGAGAGGGAAAGTTGGGCAAAAAAATCGCCGCTGTTCGTCAGCAGGGTTCACTCTTCGAGGCTGCTGCTGCAGTAGCTGTACTGTTGAGTGGACTTGTGGTGCAGTACTGAGACATCTGCAGACACAGACTGTCACTGACTGACTCAATGTCACATCAGTTCGATCTGTTAGTGGGATTTGTCTGCTCTGCTCTGTAGATGGTAGCTTGATTGCCGCCTAAATTGTCACCTTTTCAACTTCTGTTTTTCTGTTTCTATCTTGTCATGCTGTATTGCCCATCGCTAACTCTCCATTGTTTTCTTCACTTTCACAGGATCTTCATTCAGCCAAGGAAGCACGCACCAATTACTAAGTTGATTTTGCTGAAAACCTTTGGAAGCGCTACTCTTTGACAAACCACCCACCCATCACTCATCATCATCACCACCGCCATCACCATCGCACATTGTCCACACTTTTTTCTACCATTGTCGCCATTTCATTGATTTTATTCTAATTTTTGCAACCCTTTGGCACAAGCTTTTTTAATCTGTGTTTTCTGCTCTCCATTGTTGATCATCATTTGACGGCTATGCCTTGCAGTTAACTCTGTTGGGACACGTCTCTCACGTCTTTCCCAAACATCTCTCTCTCTCTCTCTCTCTCTCTCTCTCTCTAAACTACCCAATTCTCGGCCAAGATGGTCAAGGAGAAGCAAACTCGCACCTATGATCGTGATGGATATCGCAGACGGGCCGCCTGTCTGTGCGTTCGCAGCGCTGATGAGAGCGAGGTGAGCCCTGCTTTTAAGATGATCATTCTCAAGGCTAACCCGAACTTTGTTTTTGTTTTTCCACCACCACCACCATTAGATTCTCCTCGTCACCAGCAGCCGCATGACCGACCACTGGATCGTGCCGGGCGGCGGCGTGGAGCCGAATGAGGACGCCAGCGAGGCGGCCATTCGCGAGACGGAGGAGGAGGCGGGCGTCCGNGTGCGTTCGCAGCGCTGATGAGAGCGAGGTGAGCCCTGCTTTTAAGATGATCATTCTCAAGGCTAACCCGAACTTTGTTTTTGTTTTTCCACCACCACCACCATTAGATTCTCCTCGTCACCAGCAGCCGCATGACCGACCACTGGATCGTGCCGGGCGGCGGCGTGGAGCCGAATGAGGACGCCAGCGAGGCGGCCATTCGCGAGACGGAGGAGGAGGCGGGCGTCCGGGGCGTCATCAAGCGCTGCCTGGGCGACTTTGAGGTGTGCGACGAGAAGAGGGAGCGGAAGCACCGCACCTCGGTGTACGTCCTCCAGGTCGGTGAAGAGCTCACTGAGTGGGAGGACTGCAAAGGTAAGGCCGCTGAACAGCGGCTTTTTGGTTGTGTTTTCGATTGACTGACTGGTTTGCTTCTCTGGTCTCTTTAGCCCGTCTCCGGCGGTGGTTTCCCCTGGAGGAGGCGCTCAGGCTGCTGGCCGTCCACAAGCCGGTCCAGTGCACCTACATCACGCTGATGATTCAGACCTCCAGCACGCTGCAGCAGTCGGCGCCGCACCTCCTCACTCTGGCGACGTCTCTGGTGAAGCAGCAGCAGCAGCAGCAGCAGGGGACGACGATGACCACCTTTCAGCCGCCAAACAGCGGCTCCCTCCTCAGTGATGGTGGTCCTGGTTCTGCAGATGATGCCGTGGACGGCGTTACCTCCTCTACTGACAACCCTCCCACCACCACCACCACCACCACCACCACCAGCGAGCAACGGTACCTTCAAGTGAACCACTACCCGAGCGGCAGTGGCAACGGCAACGGCAACAACGGCAGCAGCAGCAGCGGAAGCAGCCCTGCCAACGCCCACTTTAACGCCTTCATCTGCAGCCGGGGCGTCTACTCGACTGACTCTGAGACTGCTGAGGAGCTGGTGGTTGGTGGAAGCTCAGCCAACCACAGGGGGGACAGTGAGGGAGGAGGTAGTGAGAATGGAAACTCGAAGACCACCGAAACGATGTTGCCGCCGCCACAACTGCAGCAAACACCACCACCACCAATGGCCGAGTCGAGTGTCAACTTTTAGCCCTCTCTGTGAATAGTGCTCACGCCCATCCCTTCTCCGCCATTTTGCCATGAATTCTCTCCCTTTTTCTCTCTTCCCTTCCCCTCCCTCCTTCACACCTTGTATAGCTTCAATCTTCTTAAATCTTTGTAAAGTGCATATATCTAATTGACTTCATTGACTTCTGACAAGTTGTTGTTGTTGTTGTAATAAACGCCCCAACACTGACTATGATGTATGTTTGCATTGACGTCACAGTCTGTTTTTGAAATTGTATGTTGGTCATGTTTGGAAGCTGCTGGTAATCATGGTGCTCTTCTTGGGAGGAAAAAGTGGTGGCCACCTGCAAAGTAAAAATGGGTTGGTTCTCTTCCTTCTTTTCTGTGCATCAAAAGTACATCAACTTGGCAACCATGTGATCGACCGGAACAACAACACACAAACACACGCCGTGTTTGGCAGCCATTGAATTGATGCACGTGGGGAACACGTGGGCGAAGCAAGCATGCAACAACACAACACAAGCAACAGCGTTTCCATTTCCAAGTGCTTCANAGTGGTGGCCACCTGCAAAGTAAAAGTGGGTTAATTCTCTTTCTTCTTTTCTGTGCATCAAAAGTACATCAACTTGGCAACCATGTGATCGACCGGAACAAAAACACACAAACACACGCCGTGTTTGGCAGCCATTGAATTGATGCACGTGGGGAACACGTGGGCGAAGCAAGCATGCAACACAACACAAGCAACAGCATTTCCAGTATTTCTCAAGTGCTTCAAAGTGGCTAAAATCAGTTTTGTTTATTTCATCATCATCATTCAAAAAACAGTCGTAAAAGAGTAGAGTAAAAGTGATCACAGTCAGTCAGTCAATTGGGCAGGCAGGTTAATCAGGTGGGGAATTGAGGGAGTGGGAATGCAGCAAGATTTAAGAGAATACCACAGCAAACAGGAAAACATTCACCTCGGCTCGGCTCGGCTCGGCTCGGTTCACCAGGGCTGCCTGTAGGAGGCGGTGTAGGAGCGGTCAATGGTGAAGAGCCGCCCGCCATGGACTGCCTTGTAGTGGTCGAGCACCGGGCGCAGCTGGTAGCTGTAGAAGGGGCAGTCGGCGAAGGTGCACTCGTAGTAGCCCTCTCGGTGCTCCAGGTCGAAGTGCCACTCAAAGCTGAGCGGGTCGTCGAAGATGCGAAAGCAGGCGTAGCAGTCCCAGCTCAGCCTGCCCCGGTGGGCGGCCTTCAGGTGCGCCCACAGGTGCTCTCTGTGTGAGAAGAAGAAGAAGGGTTTAGAAAAAGAGCCTTTTGAGTTGCACTTTTCATACAAACAAAAACACTTACTTCCTCTCAAAGCTGGCCGTGCAGTTTTCGCCCATCAGAGGACACTGGTGCTCCTGGATGCCGTGCACCTCGAGCATGTGCCCCAGCAGGCCGGTCCGCGTGCCGAACGCCTGGTCGCAGGTGGTGTCCAGGCAGTTGAGAAAGCGAATGCGGTACATCCGGTACTCCTCCGTCTCCACCACTGGGCCTGCTGCTGCTGCTTCTACTACTTTCTGCCGCCCTCTTTCAAGTTCCCTTTCAGTGATGAGTAGCCTCCTGGACGAGCTGAGAGTCGGAATGTACTCGGGCATCTTCCAGCGATGGCAGGGCTCATCATTGTTGCCGCCGCCACTTCCAGTCTTGTTTTCAGCTGGCGATGGTTTCTTCTTTTTTGAATCAGTGATCGGTAAAGGAGGAGGAGGCGGAGGAGTGGTAGAGTCCGGCACCGGAGGTCGAGGTGGCGTGGGTGGTGGTGGTGGTCGATGGCCGTTGACGCCCAGAGGAGTGCTCCCCCTCTGCTGCTTGGGCGTCGAATGGGAGAAGATGACCGGTGATCGACGCCTAGTTTGAGGGCTTTTCTGGGGCTGAAAGGGGCGTGGTGGACGAGAAGGACATGAGGAGAAAGAAGGAGTGTCGATGTTGATGTTGTGGTTGTTGCTGGTGTTGGTGTCGGCAATGGGTGTGGTCCATTTGATGGTGGTGGCGGTGGTGAGTGGCACATTGGCTGCAGGCGGGTAGTTTGGCTGATCT